GCGACCCGGAAAGCACTCTGTCGGATTGGGCGACAGAGCGTGACCGCATCCGCGTGGCTTTCGCAACAAACCTCATCAAGTCGGCTCGCTCGCCATCGGATCCCGCGGCATTCGGTACCGGCGCTCGTGTGCGCGCGAGGAAATCAAATGGCGGTCAGAGTACAGGGAGAACGAGGGGCACTCTATCACACAAGGAGCAGGGAGAAGAGAGAAAGCAGCAGGCACACAGAGAGAGAAAAGGAGAGAGTGAGAGAAGGGGGGAGGGACCAGACCTGCCGCCATCCGACGTCCTCCTCGGTCCAACAACCTCGACATCGTACAACCCGTCCCCACAGCCGTCGTCGAGTCAAGCCAAGGGGTGGCCCTACATGAGGGCGCAGCCGCCCTTCTCTGGCTTTTCCGGCTCGGGATTCAGGTCCTTCTCGATCTCGGCGACGACGGCGTCAAACACGCGCGACACGTTCTCGTTGGTGCGGGCCGACGACTCGAGGAAGACCGTCTTGCCCCACGACGCGGCGAGCGCGGCGCCTTCCTCACGCGTCACTTGCCTGTGCGCGGGGAGACCGGGGGACCGAGAGGGGGGTGAGCGAGCCGCGGCTTAGCGGTTCAGGAGAGCGGGTAAGCGATCGAGCGCACCTCTGCACGGCCAAGTCGGACTTATTGCCGACGAGCACCATGGGGACCGAGTCACGCCCCGTGTAGTTGAGAATCTTCTCGCGGATGATGGAGCACATCTCGAACGACGAGCGCGACGAGACCGAGTAGACGAGGATCCAGCCGTGCAGGCCGACGGCGTGGCGCGATGACAGGATCGAGAACTCGTCCTGTCGGGATGACGGAGAGCTCGAGGCATCAGCCAAGGTGTGCTCGTCCTCCCAAGGACGATGACGACGACTCACCTGTCCCGCCGTGTCGATGATGTCGAGCTGGAAGTCCTGCCCCTTGTACTTGACCATCTTGGTGAACGTGTTCTCGATCGTCGGGTAGTAGCTGTCGACAAAGTGCTGGTCGACGAACTGCACCGTCAGGGACGACTTGCCTGCGCACGGGAGGGAGGAAAGGGGGGCCGCCGACGGGACGGGCAGCGAGGGTCAGCTCCTGCAGCGGGCCGGGCGACGCTTGCCTCACACGGGGCGGCGACAGAAGGGTGTGGGACGCACCGACAGAGCGCGACCCGAGGAGCGCTACCTTGCGCTGCTTGGGACCGATAAGCTTGCCCGACGGGGTGGTCATGCTGGGGGCGTGGGCGGGGTGGGGGTCGGGCTTGCGCGGAAGGTCTGGGGGAAGGGCACGCTGCAAGGGTCAGCTCGACTGCGATAGATGCAGGCTCTGTAGGAGTGTCTCGCTCACGGCTGGGAGAGTTGGCCGGGCGAGCGAAGGGGGGTCGGCGAGATGAGGTCTGATCGAGCCGAGGGAAGGGTGAGCGCGCGCACTTGCTCGACGACGGCTGGCACCTGCATGGGTGCAGCCTGACGCGCAGTGATACAGCTCTCGAATGAGGCTACCCGCTGGCTGAGGAGCACGGCGGGAGTGGGAAGCCGAAGGAGGCATCCTCGCCTCTCCTCGGAGCGACGGTGGCACGGCGTGGCCTGGGACCGGCTCGGGGCAGTGGAGGAGAGACAGTGCTCACCTTGTACGAGCGGGTGTGGGGACCTCGAGGGGAGCGAGGCGAGCGGGGGCGGATGAGAGCAGAGCGGCCGAGTTGCGCAGATGAAAGGCGGCCGACCGATTCGTCTGTCGACCTCGCCCCTCGCGTGCCTCTGACAAGGACACGTACCCTGCGGTGGACTCTGCGGGCCGCACTCCCGCCGACAGACCGGGCAGCTGCCTCCTCCGAGTCGCTCGAACCCTCGTCGTCCGTCCCGGGTCGTCGTTATCCCCGCCCGCCCCGCTTCCGCTTCGCCTCTTGCTTCTGCTCTTCTCACTTGCCTGGCTACGCTCCCCTCGTCCCCGACAGACTCTCGTTGCCACCTTCGACGATGCCCAGCTTCTGCCAGACAATGCTCGAGCGCTACGTACGTGCTCACCCCCGTTCCCCACCGCTCATCCACCCGCCGCGCTCCATACTCCCCCCGCTGACTCTCTAGCGGCGTCGACACAGGCGCAAGAGGTCCGTGTCGCCACCGAGCACCCCTTCCTCGCGGCCGCGGGCAAGCACGAGCTCTCGAGCGAGCAGCTGTCGACGTGGCTCACCCAAGACCGCTGCTACGCCCTGCACGGCTGTACGTCCGTTCGCCCGGTCTTGCTGCCTTCGGCCCTGACGTCTGAATCTCACGCCACTTGCAGACCCAAAGTTCATCGGTGTGTTGGCCGGCCCCCGCATCCCCCTACCGCCCTGACCCAGCTCCCCCACTCCGCAGCCTCGCTCATCTCGGCCCTCCCGCTCTCCTCGCCCGCACACCAGTCAGCCTCGCAGTCGACCCTCGCGCTCCTCTCCTACGCCATGTCCAACATCCACCGCGAGGTCGGCTTCTTCGACAGCCTCTCGCCGCGCTTCGGGCTCGACCTTGCGCGCCGCCCGGGCGCGCAGCAGGCAGGGTCGCTCCAGGGCGGGCTGATGCGCGTCGAGACCAAGGCATACGTCGACTTGCTCATCGCGACGGGCGCCGAGGCGAACCGTAACGGCGGGGGAATGGAGGAAGGCCTCGTCCTGCTGTGGACCATGGAGAAGGTGCACTCTCGTCCAGCTCTTAAGCTCCAAAGCGTCCTCCGTCGACGAGCTGAACTGACAGCCCTCCGTATACAGCTCTACAACCAAGCCTGGCTGTTCGCAGCCACGCACTCGGCAACGCCCTCCGCCACCGACGAGAAGACGTCCGCCGCGCTCACCGAGCTCATCGACAACTGGACGAACGCCGAGTTTGCCGAGTTTGTCGCCAAGTGCGAAGAGGCGGTCGAGAAGCTGCAGCTCGAGGAAGGGACGCCCGAGTGGGACAGGGCTGAGGAGGTGCGTTCGCAGAGTCTCTTCGCTGCCGTCCCCCCTCTGCGGGGCACAATTGACAAGCTGCGATCGAGCGCGCAGATCTTCAAGTACACACTGTACCTGGAGCAGCGCTTCTGGCCCGGCATGTAGAGCTTGCAAGCCCTGTCACTCTCGCCCATCCGCAGCAGCGCCTTCCGCACCTGCTTCCTCTCGCTCTCTTTCGTCCTCTTCTTCCTCGCAGCTAGACGTGCAAATTAGTCTTCTTCTTCACTCTATACAGGACGTGCGAGGTCCGCATGCGCGTCCGCAGGCGACACCGTGCCCCACACCTGCTCCTCATCGAGCAGCCTCGTCCGCCTTCTGCCCGTTATCCATCCCGATCGTCTCCTCCTTCGCGCCCTTGTTCACCGGTGCTGGAGCGACGGCTCCTTTGGGCGTGACCATCTTGAACATGCACACGTCGCGGATGGCGGCGTACTGCGAGGCGGCGGCGGGGGTGGGGGTCGTCAGCTGGTCTCATGAAGGATCACTGACACCGTGCAGCCCTCTGCGTCGACCCCTGCTTTGCGCAGACGAGTGGGAGCACAGCGAAAGCAATAAGAGACAGGACGCACGTTGGGGCCACCGCAGCGCGCGATCGGGACAGTCTTGGAGATGTCGATCTCGCCGTCGGTGAGGACTGCCTCGTCGATGTGGATGCCCACGACACGGCCGATGACGACCTGACGGTGGACGCGAAGTTTTCAGCAAATGGGCAAGGCGAGAAGCGTGAGTGTGACGAGAGCCAGGAGCGCCAGGATAGAAAGCTCTGCGAGCCCAAGTGCAGCGCCTCGCGCACATATGCGCACAGAAGCGCTTACTGGGCTGCCTAGAGAGGACAAAGCAAGAGAGAAGAGCTCACATCGACGCTCGCACCGACGCCGTCGCCCGGCAGGCGGATCGTCGAGTGGTGCACGCACTCGAACTGCGCGGGCGGAGCGGGGTCAGCAAGCGGGTCTGCCATCGGGCCTTGCAGCACAGAAGTACGCACGTTGATCGGCGAAGCCTTGACAAAGGGGCACTTGACGAGCGAGCCGAGCGCTTTTTCGAGCCCGGCGAGGTCGAACTCGTCCGTGCCGTAGGGGACTTCTGTCGCCGACTTGTTCATCTCTTCCCTCAGGTCGTAAGTCGCTGCGAGGACGGGATGGAGCCGGTCAGCTTGAGCGGTACGAATGAGTGAGGCGGGGCCAAAGAGAGAGAAAGGGAACGCACCGAGAGACCAGCAGAACTCGCCCGTGCGTTCCGCGTTGACGACGTTGTCCTTACGCTCACCGCTGTCCTTGACATTTGCAGCAAACATGACGTAGGGCGGCGAGAAAGTCAGGTGGGCGAACTGGCTGTACGGTGCGAGGTTGGCCGTGCCGTCCGTGTTGAGCGTCGAGATCCAGCCAATCTGCGAGCGTGACGGCGAGCGCGACGGGTCAGTAACGGTCTATGAACGATGGAGAGGGAGGGAACGCACCGGTCGAGGGACGACGCAGCTGCACTCGACGGCGAGGTCAGCTCCGTTCGAGCGCTCGAGGCGGCGAGGACTGTGCAGAGGACGCACGACTTGAACGGGTCCTTCTTGAGTCCGTGAGGGGTCTTACCGGGCTCGTAAAACATTGTGCAGGGCTGTGTAGGGAGTAGCGGAGAGCGGAGAGACGGTGGAAGGAGAAAAAGAATCGCGCTGCTCCGCACGTGCGCTCGGCTCGAGGTGGGGGCTTTTGATCGCCGTCCGGCGTCCGAGGCTGGGCGGCGCCTTTTGCAAATGCGCAGATAAGCCGTTGCCGACGGCTAAGCGGGACGCGTATGCGCAGGTACTGTACAGTAGCACTGTGGCTCGCGCTGGCTGGCGACGAGAGAAGAGGGGCGAGCGGGCCTTCCCAAGTCGGCGCGCTTTCGCACGTTCACCAAGTGTCGACGCCAGCGTTCAGCCGTCCTCGTGCGTGACGGTCAAGGCAAGAATGACAGGGTGGACCTGCTTGTGTCCTCCCGACCTCGTGCAACCTCGGATCACATCTGACGAGCTGCTTCATCCGGGGGCAAAAAAGAGGAGTGTCCTCTCCGTGAATCGAACACGGGTTTCCGCAGATAAATTCCGAGTAGTGGTGACCACAATGCGGTGTCTTAACCACTGGACGAAAAGAACAATTGGTTTTGTCGATCGCCGCAAGTCTGCCACCATGCCGAGCAATGCCGAGTCTCAGCGGTCCTCTCACACGACTGGCTTCAGGTGCCTTTCGGGTCCCTGGGACACGCGCGTGGCTCAATCCGGCAGACAGCTCCTCATTTGGATGCACGAGTATCGTCCAAGCGCGTGACGCCATGCACGTGCAACATGCATGTCTGACGCCTGGACCCGAACTCCGACGCGCCCACCGCGCGCGCGCTTTCCTGCTCACCTCCTCGACCCGACACCCCCCACAAGCGAGCGCCATGCTGCTGCGAGCCCTGACCGCGCTGGCTCTGTGCGCGTGCACAGCCAGCGCGCAGCCGGACGAGGCCGACTTCACTCCCATCGCGAGTCCGCGCCCCACCTGCCCGCCGACCGTCGAGCTGCTCCCACTGACACTGTCGCAACCGCAGGTCGTGCCGCTCGCTGTGCGGGGTCCGTACCTCGGCGCGTACCTCACAGGCCGCGAGGACAAGACGCTCGTGTCGATGGACCCTCACTACTGGACGACGCTTCCGCTTGGGTGGAAGGGGCTCCTTCGCGTGGACGGCTCGACGTGGAACTGGATGGGCAACCTCACAGAGTGTGAGCCCCTCTCGGACGAGCCCGAAAGCGCTCGAGATCTGACCTCGCGACTCCTGCACAGGGCCCGCCGCTCGCAACGCCTCGATCCGGCATACGGCCGCCGAGACGGGCTTCACCTTGACGGATGATCCGCCGACGGTCGCCCTGCACGCCTCATTCCTCTCCCCTGTCACGCCCGCCGACCTGTTCCGACAATCCCTCCCCTTCTCGTACCTCCACCTCACCGCCGAGTCGCTCGACGGGCAGCCGCACGACGTCGACGTCTACTCCGAGGTCAACGGGCTCTGGCTCGCCGACGAGGAGCACGAGGAGCTCGAGTGGACTGTGCATGAGCCGGCAAGTCGGAGCGGGCAGGACTTTGTCGGGCTAAGGGCGCGGCTGCGGCATCAGCGGCCGTTCGAGGAGGCTTTCCACAACGACTTGTGGTCCAACGAGTGGATCTCGACGGACCGCATTCTACAGGGCGATCTGTGGTACGCCGCACACGTCGAGCCAGGCTCGACTGTGCGCACGACCTTTGCTGCGGGCGACGACGCCGTCACGACGCGACGGCTCTTCGCCGAGACGGGGTCGCTCCACAGCACCGTCAACGAGACGTCGCCTCGTCCGACACGAACACGCGACGCGCGGAACGCCTCGCGCGTCCTCGACGAGCCTGTCTTTGCCCTCGCGCACTCGTTCGGCCGCATCTCGCCCGCGAGCCCGCCCGAGGCCCGCTCGGCGCTCCTCGCCATCGGCCACGTGCGAGATCCCCTCGTGCAGTACATGACGGGCACGCCCGAGGTCGAGACGGTCGTCCCCTTGCGTCCGCTGTGGGCGTCAACGTTCCGGGACGCGGCGCACTTGCTCGGCTGGTTCCTCTCGGACTATCCGACCGCCAAGCGCCTCAGCGACGACTTCAACGCCAAGCTGTACGCCGACGCGCGGGCCGTCGAGTCGCAGGAGTACGCGCACATTGTCGCCATCTCGACGCGGCAGATCTTCATGGCGCTCGAGGCCGTGTGGGACGAGTCGGTCGAGGGGCGACGCGCTGAGGAAGGGCTCGCGGCTTGGAGCCCATTGACAGGGGAACCTGTGCCAGCAATGGGTGCGTACGACCGCTCGGCGTCCGGGAGTAGCGCCGTCCGGCCTCCTCTCCTCCCACAGAGGGCAAGCTGACCTTTTTCCGCCCGCCTAGTCATGCTCAAGGAGATCAGCTCCAACGGCAACTGCCAGACGGTCGACGTCATTGCGCCGTTCCTCCCCTTCCTTCTCTACGCCTCGCCGACGCTTCTCCCTCTCCTGCTCGAGCCGATCCACCGCTACATGGCGACAGGGCAGTACGTGCCCGTCCCGCCCGCTCACGACCTCGGCGACCACTACCCAAATGCGACGGGCCACAACGATTTCTTGTATCCGGGGTTGCCGATCGAGGAGGCGGGCAACGCCCTGTGCCTCCAGCTCGCGGGCATGCGCGTGGCCGACCCTTCGTCAACGCCGCTCTCGGCACACGAGCGCGTCAAGCACTGGGTCAACAAGGCGTCGAGCTGGGTGGGGAAGAAGGGACAGCGGAGGGTCGGGTGGGAGGCAGACGTCGTCGCCGGGAGGGACCACCGGCGCGAGGGCGCGAGGATGGCGAGGGACCAGGCGAGGGAGCGGTACGCGCTGCTGAAGAAGTGGGCAGATTACCTCGAGGAGGAGAGCCTGTATCCAGGCGATCAGCGTCCGTCACCTTTTCTCGTTAGCCTCGCCGACCGCTCGCTGACCTGTTTCTTTCGCCCGGCAGGCACGACCGACGACTGTGCGCGCAGCCTGCCCTTGTTCGCTCTTCAATGTACTGACGCTCCTCTCTGGCGCAGTCTTTGGGTCCGCGCCGAATCAGACGTCCCTTGTGCGCCTGCCGTCCTGCTCCCACCTCGGCATGTCCTGACTCGTGAATGTCCTCGACCGCAGGTCGTCAAGGGCATCATGGGCTTGCGAGCGATGAGCGAGATCGCTGCGGACCTGGGCGAGACCGCCGACCAGGCGTACTACCTTGTGCGTGCCCGACCTCTTCTTTCTTTCGCCGGGCTTGCACTCGATCTGACGCCCGCACGCGCTTGCGCAGGACGTGTCGAACCGCTTTCGTGACACGTTCCTCGAGATGACAATCTCGAGGGACAAGACGCACCTCCTTGGAACGTACAACAACCAGTCGAGCTGGGTCACGCATGTGCGCTCGGCGCTGTCGAGTTCTCGCCTCTCTCGAGTTGGCCGCTGACGGGCGCGCGCGCCTACAGTACAACCTGTACTTTGACAAGTTGCTCGGCACGGATGTCTTCCCCGAGTCGGTGTACCGCATGCTCGACGCGTTCTACCCGACCGTCGCAGGTGCGTCATGCTGCCCGCCCCTTTTCCCCTCCCACTCTTCCCTTCGCTCACACCGCCCTTGACACACGCACCCAGAGCCCTACGGCCCACCACTCGACTCTCGTTTCCCGACCCGCGCCAAGACCGACTGGCTCGCGTGGGCCTCGGCGCTCTTCCCGCCCTCGTCCCCCTCGCGCGCGCTCTTCGTCCAGGCCCTGTCGCGCTACTTTCGGCAGGACCGCAACGCCGTCTTCGGGGACTCGATCACCCCTCAGGACGGGTGGTCGGTCGGGTTCCTGAGCCGCCCCGTCGCGGGGGGCCACTACGCGCTCCTCGGCCGTGCGGTCATGGACCAGGCGCGGGCGGACGCCGAGCGCGCGGCGCGCGCGCGCGAGGGCAGGGGGATGTTTGCGCTCGCGGGCCTGGTGGGGCTCGTGGTTGCTGCGCTTGTCGGGTGGCGAGGGGCGAGGCGGTGCGTGAGGCGGAGGAAGGGGTACGTCGAGCTTGGGAGGCCGAGGGCGGGAAGTCGGGCGGCGAGGGGCAGTGCGGACGGGGTGTGGCTTGCGGAGAGCCCGAGGAGTGTGTTTGAGCTCGCGGAGCTGGAGGATGAGGAGGAGGATGGAGAGGACGAGGGTGGGGAGGATGCGTGGGCGAAGAGGGGAGGGAGCGTCGGTGGGGCCGGTACGGGTCAGGACAAGCGGCGCGACTAGACGCCGTAGCAGTTCTTCACAGCGGGCGCAGGGGGATGATCGAGTTGCGCAGACGAGACGAGCGACGGTCTGTGCGAGTGCGAGCCGCTCTCGAGCTGCCGGGTCAATGAGGGATAAGATCCTGGTACACTGCAAGAGCCCCAATAAGGTGACGGCGCTCGTCCGCGGAGGGAGAGGAGGAGGGGGCGGGATGAGGGAGAACGAGGAGCTGCCAAGGAGAGTGGGGGAAGGCGCTAGTCGAGGCGAATGCGATGGAAAGAAAGGACACAGGGAGACGAAAGGCAAAGAGACAAAGGTGTAACGACAGTGGGGTTGCTGGGTGAGCGGGTGAGTGCGTCCAAGTGCGCCGTCGCCTCGAGCCGAGTCGGGGGGTCGGACGCCATCGAGCGGGCTGGTGGTACAAGTCGACGAGGCCGACTGGAAATGGCGGGAGCGCTTGGCTCGCTCGCTCAGAAGGGCGCGGTGTTCTCGGCGCCGATGGTGGAAGACTGGCCGAGGCTCGACTTCTTCTGCGGCGCCTGACCGGCAGCCTGGAACGACGACGACAGCGAGAGCGGCTTGCCCCTGTTTCGGCGCGTTCTAGTCAGTCTCGTGTCCCGAACGCTCGGGAGAAATCGCCCCGTGGCACGCGTAGCGACAGCTGTGGCCCCCCAAAGCTCCCCGAATCTGAGACGAGGGTGAGAGGAGGGAGCACGACGACGCACTTGTTGAAGTGCCTCTGCTTGCTCTGTGCGAGCTTCTTGGTGCAGGGCGAGACCATGTGGTCCGTCGGCGACTGGAATGCAGACTGGCTGTAGTGGTGAAGGCGCAAGAGTCGGTCGTCGAGGGGGAGGGTGTTCGCGGAAGGGCGAGGGCGTTGGGAAGGAGTTGAGGTCGAGGGGTGACGTGATGCAGCGCAGGGGTTCGCGAGCGAGCGCAGGTACGACGGCGGAGAGGTCGAACGAGACCGAGTGAGCCGGCACAAAGGAGGTAAGCCGGATGTTGAGTGACGCCGGGGAGGGTCAGAGGGGGAATTGCGGGTGCGACGCGGGAGGTGGCCACACGGTGGTGAGGGCAGAGTGACGGTAGCAGAAGTGCAAGGGAAAGAGTCGGGCACAGTCAGCGTGTGTGGGCAAAACGAGGCGAGGCGAGGCGGGGAGGCCGCGACCGAGGGCAAGGACAGAGAGAAAGAGAGAGACGCACCCGCTCGCGGCCATCTTCTTCATGAGGAAGCCCTTTGCGCCGAGCTGCATGGTCGAGTGACCCTGCTCGATGGGCCCCGTGCCCTGCGGGAGCTGAGCCTGGTCCTGCGGTGCGACGTGCATGGGCGCGATCGACTCGACGGGCGAAGGGGCGGCCTGGGCGGGCGACGCG